ACATGGGTTGAGATAAGAACAATTTAATACTGCTACTAATATATGAATATATACATGTACAATGATAATATATACAAACAAGAGATGCACAGTGTCATTGCTCACCACCCGTTGACCAAGGCCTGTCTCATCCTGGACTAATGATCCTGAAACAAACACGTCCCAACACCACAACCTTGGACAAGTGAGAGGCCTGGAAAAGGGAGTGTGAGAGAGAGGGAGAGCACTCGGGGTGGGCAGAGAGAGAGAGGGAGAGAGAGCGCACTCCAAGAGTCTGCAAGTGAGAGCCCCCAGAAGAGCAAAGGCCCTTCTTTCCAGTCAACCCTCATTTTTATACTGGACATGATGCTGCATGATACAGAATACTTCATTGGCCAGTTTGGCCCTCAATCCTAAATCTAAGTACAAATCTTAGTTATGGACCCTCTCTCCCAGCTAAACTCCCCCCTATCCTGTTGTGCTCCTGCACACTGGCAAGAACACAGCAAGATGAAAAGTCCTTAAGGCCTCACTGCTGACTACAAACATCAGTGCACTATCAGTGTTCTTCTCAGAACAAATCTCAGACTAAAACCCAAACACAGAGCTCTTCTAGCTGCTAAAAGAACTAACTCTGTCCCAGCTGAAACCAGGACACAAACAAAGCTCAGCGATTCAGTTTTGCTGGAGCTTTGAAGAGACTGCCAATGGAAGCTGAAGGCTAGCAAGAGCTTTCAGTCCTGGCACCTTTTGTGAGAGCCCTCACTGGACATTTTCAGTTTTGGAGCTCAGCTAGAGTTAGAGAGGGGATCAGTAGGTCACAGAGTGTCTTTTATCCATCCAGAATAGAGTTCATTTTCTTCCTGGTAGCTGGTATAGTGTTGTGTTTTGGATTTAGTATGAGAATAATGTTGATAACACACTGCTGGTTCAGTTGTTGCTAAGTAGTGCTTATACTAAATCAAGGACTTTTCCAATTCCCATGCTCTGCCAGTGAGGAAATGCCCAAGAAGCTGGGAGGGACCAGAGCCAGGACAGCTTACTGAAATTGGCTAAAGGGGTATTCCATACCATATGACATCCTGCTCACTATGTGAAGAGGGGGGGAAGTTAGCCCCAGAGGCCACTGCTGGAAGGGGCCAGGCTGGGCATTGGTCAGCAATTGCATTGTGCATCACTTGCTTTGTATATTCTTTTATTATTATTATTATTTTCCCTTCCTTTTCTGTTCTTTTAAACTGTCTTTATCTCAACCCACAAATTTGACTCTTTTTTCCAATTCTCTCCTCCATGCCACCCAAGGAGGAGGTTAAGCAAACAGCTGTGTCATGTTTAGCTGCTTAAACTACCACAGTCCTTTAGATGCCCAACAAGTTGAGATAACAACAAACCTGATCAGAGCACATTAAAACAAAATCATTATAAGCATACAATATATTAGATTAATAGTTGCTCTTCACAATGATGTTTTATTTGTTCAAATGGTTGTGTTATGTAAATCCTTACTTCTTCAGCCTAGAGAAGGCTCCAGGGAGATCTTATTGCAGTCTTCCCGTACCTAAAGGAGGCCTACAAGAAAGCTGGAGAGGAACTTTTTACAAGGGCGTGTAGTGAATAGGACAAGGGGTAACAGCCAGATTTAGATTAGATCTAAGGAAGACTTTTTTTTACACTGAGGGTGGTGAGGCACTGGAACAGGTTGCCCAGAGAAGCTGTGGCTGCCCCATCCCTGGAAGTGTTCAAGGCCAGGTTGGATGAGGCTTTGAGAAACCTGATCCAGGGGAAGGTGTCCCTGCCCATGGCAGAGAGGTTGGAACTAGATGGTCCCTTCCAACCCAAACCATTCTATGATTCTACGTGTTGTCCTAGTCATCTGAGAGTCCCTTCATCTACAGAGAAGTGTTTGAATTTGCTTTCCCCAACCTGACCTTTTGCATCTCTTCTTGCTTCTATGAAATTTCAGTGATAGAGGCACAACTGTAATCAAAATTTAATCAGAAAGAGCTTTGATCTCACTAAGGGCCAGAAGGCTTTGCAGAAACTCAGGCTTTCTCTAACAGATTTGAGGCATCATCTACCTACCACTTATTTTTAACAAAACCAGCCAAGCATCCCTCAAGAAACTCTCCTTGGGAGAATGCCTCAACCCATGTTGAAGCCTTCCTCAGGTCTGCCCCTTTTCCTGCCTGGAAGTAATCCAGACAGAATTAGAGGACTTTGGCTCACAGGCCTGGATTCTTCTGGCATATGGCAATCCCAGATGGATGTATACTTAGCAGTTCTTCAGCACCTGTACAGAGTTTATAGCATATCAGCTACCTAGATGAAAGAGTAAATCCATTGCTCACTGAAGATAGGCTATGAAGCACTATGTGTAAATACTGGAGAAAATTCCAGACAAACATAGTGAGTCAGTCCCATGAAGGGCCTAGAACTGCATCTTCCCAGGCACAGGTGGTGTACCTGAAGTCTACGGATATTCTGACTTGTGCATCGCCATGGACTTTCTATCATCATTTCTTGCTCACTCTTGCCCGTTTTAGAAAAGGTCTTAAGGTTGTCTTTATTAGAAGTATTCAACACTAAAATATTAAAATTATCTGAAGTCTTTTTAAACACATTCTTAGACTCATGTTGCACTCGTTTACTACTACATAGAAAATTTAAATGGCATCAAGAAAGGAAGTATATTGAGATATTACAAGGAATCTTGAAGACTAGTTTTTAAAGCAAAATCAGCACTGAGTTTCCTCATGACTTCTGCATGACTCAGCCCATGCTGCTCTCTTTCAGTAAGTTCACAGTTTTCTTCCCCAAACTTTGCAGAGGGCATTAGATGTGCTCTAGCAGGAGTGCCATCCTTCCGAGCAGGCTGACTCAGGACCAGCTGCCCCCCGCAGAACGCACACACAAAGCGCTCTGTGTCCAGAGACTTGGAATGACGTCCAGTCCTGAAATGGAAAAATAAGTACTTTGATTTCACACTTGTGGTACAAAGAACTTGTGGAAAAGGGCTCCTTTCTTCTTTGCCAGGCTACTTAGGTCAGATTTCTAAGCTAGCATCTTAGAACAGGAAATAAGACTACATACTTCACACAGTGGAAGAATCAAATCTGTATTACACATTTCTCTATCCTAGAACTTTTTCCACTGTCTGTTCAGTTTGATTCCTTCCTCTGTCTCTTTTACTTTCAGCTGAGTAGTATGAAGTGCTACAACATTTCAGAACACCTCCACAATCCATGTATCAACTCAGCCCTGAGTTTCTCCTCAAAGCCATCACCATCAAATGTTCTCAACGCTCTGTTGCATCTAAGCACTGCATAGTCATATTAAACACTTCAGGAAGATTCTTTCATATGTGAAATACTGTTTCCTTTCAGTGCTTCCAGAAGTAGCACATACCATCCTGAGAAAAATGCAGAACTGAATTCACAAAACTTCATGCTCCTCCACTGAGACTGAAGTCATTACATACAGAAGCCTGTGGTCAGCTACAATCTTCCAGAAAAGGCAACACCTTCCGTACCCATGAAAACCTGTGAAATTACTATAGCAACTCTTTCTTCTGCTTGATCTCAGCAACATATATAGTTCTCATTTCACAAATGCAGTAAGCAAGACAGAAGTCTGATGACCAGTGTTACAATCTACCAGTACACCTGTGTCCTAGCTTCAATCTTCCACATCACAGTGCTGCTTACATCTGTGTGGTTGCAGACATCTCTTCTTCCTTCAATACATACACAAGCTGAAAGAGTCCATTAAGTAAAAGATCAACTAGAAAACTGACTCCAGCTTTTATAGAGTTTTAAACCAATAGAAATCGTTATATTGTTAGTCTATGTGTTTTACTCAGTACCACCATAACAAAGATACAAGATTAGTCAAAGCATTTAGTCTTAATTCAAAGCCATCAGTATACAAAATGCAGAAAGCTTCCTCTGGTTCTTTGTTCTAATATCTAATTACTGTCACACATTTTGTGCGTAGTTTTTATGGTGACTTGTTCAGCTTTTTAATTCCAGTTACTACTGACTGACATCTTTCAGCATCAAATGGTCCTCAGTATCTTCACAATGATGGGCCTATAAAAGTAATTCAGTACACCATGCCAAGTCTAACACTCCCTTGTGGGCTGTTTTTCCTTAGAGCAAACCTGCACTGTTGTCATGGCACATTCAAACATGTTACTTTGTAAAACGTGTATATATTTCAAAAGAACTTGGAACATCTTATTTCTGCAACACACGCTAGTACTTTGCCTACATGCATTCCACAGGGATGTGCCAGATCCAGTCATTGCTCTGTCAGTGTAGGCCCACAAGAAGTACTTCTGATGTAATACTTGTTAAGACTGGAAATACAACCCCCTACCAAAAAGCCTGTAATGGGATCAGTGTTCATCGTTAAATCAGAGATAAGCAGTCAAAAACTTTGACAAGTTCACTCAATATTAACTACAGTAGGAAGTGAATCCAAATTTACATCACTTGAACAATCTTTGAAACGTGAGAGCAGTCCCATGTGTGGACCTTTCCCTGACATCCTTCAAAGCTGAGGCATGTATTCTGATGTCTTACTGCTTCCCAAAGACCTTCCATAATCACCAATGGCCCTCAAAGACACTTCTGCCTGTCTTGACCACTGAACTGGAACTGAAACTACCTGGAAACAAACACATGGAATCACGTAGTGAGGTTCTGTGGGCTCAGGAAATGTGAAGCGACAACACAAAGAGTATCTCAATTGCTTCACAGTTTAAGAGATCTATGATTTCTAGACACAGGAGACTGTCAAGGTAGAGAGAAAGTTAATACATAGGCATATGCAAGATCAAAACATTACTCACGTAGCTTTGCACAGAACACACTCATAGATGAATTTGTAATTAATCTCATAGCTGTGGCATCGCGTAACTACTGGCAGTTCGGGATGAATCACAGCTGATTTATTGGCATAGAATCTCCAGAATCGTCCATGTCCATCGCGAACACCATTGATCAGCCAAGTGGCTGCATGGCAAGCCTCATGAACTAGCGTGTCTCGAAGACGATCTCGGGGCAAGGCAAACAAAAGACATTAAGATCAGACCTGAGATATGGGGAAGTACAGACTTGGTCACTGCTTCAGACCTTGGACCAGCTTTGTTGCCCATCCCTGGACACATTCAAGTACCTTCACATCCTTCTTAAATTGTGGGGAAGCAAGGCCACACCAACCCTGAATACACCGGGATAAGTCACCTCTTTTGACCAGCTGTGTTTGATGTACCCCAGGAAGCCAGGGCACACTGCTGACTCATATTGATCCTGCTGCTGACCAGCACCCCAGATCCCTTTCTGCAGGGCTGCTCTCCAGCCACTCCTCTCCCAATTTATACTTGTGCCCAGCGTTACTCCACCCCAGGTGCAAAATCCAGCATCTGGACTTGTTAAGTTTCATCCCATTAATCATTGTTCAATGCGCCAGTCTACCTAGATTCCTCTGCAAGGCATCTTGTACCTCAAGAGAGTGACTAGCACCTCCTAGTTTGGTATCATCACCAAACTTGCCAATGGTGAATTCAACTGCTGCATCAAGATCATAGATAAATATATTGAACAGGACTGGCCCTAGAATTGAAGCCTGAGGAACACCACTGGCAAATGGTCGCCAGCCAGATGTAGCCCCATTCACTGCAACACTTTGAGCTCTGCCCTTCGGACAGTTCTTCTCTCAGCACACCATGAACTTGCTCATCTCACTGTTGGACAATTTGTGCAGAAGGATGCTGTGAGGGACAGTATCAAAAGTCTTACTAAAATCCAGAAAGACTACATCCACCAGGTGGACAACCTTATCATACAAGGGTATCAAATGAGTTAAACAGGACTTTCCCCTTTGTGAACCCATGTTGACTGTGCCTGATAATTGCATTATTCTTTAAATGTCTTTCAATAGTACCCAGTATGACCATAATTTTCTCAGGAAGTGAGGTTAGACTAACACATCTGTAGTTTCCTGGGTTTTCCCTCACACCCTTCTTGTAAATTGGAATAACGTTAGCCAGCTTCCAGTCAGCAGGGACCTCCCCAGACTCTCAAGACCTTTGGTAGATGATTGAGAGGGGTCCTGCCATAACATCCACTAGCTCCTTCAGCACCTGGGGGGAATCCTATCAGGCCCCACGGACTTGCGAACTTTCATCTGATACAGCTGGTCCCTGACAATTCCAGTGTCCACAAATGGGGAGTCACTGTTCCCACACTCGTGGTTCTCCGACTCATGGGACTGGGCAGCTCAAGGCCTGTCAGTTGTATTAAAGACTGAGGGGGAAAAAAAAAAGCAGCACTGAAAGGCTCTGCTTTTTCATCCCTATTATTCAGATGACCATCTTCAACAAGCAACAGTCCAATGTTTTCTTTAGATCTCCTCTTGCTATTAACATACTTTAAAAAGCCCTTCTTGTTATCTGACACAACGCTGGCCAGTTTCAACTCTAATTGAGCTTTAGCCTTTTGTGTGCTCTGTGATCTTCCTGTGAAGCCTTGACCTCACTTCTAGAGATCATACAGTTTCTTCTTTCTCTTGAGCTCCATGAGGAGTTCCCTGTTCAGCTAAGCAGGTCTTCTGCCCTGCTTGCTTGACTTACGACACAATGGGATTACCTGCTCCTATGCATCTAAAAGGTGCTTCTTAAAACTGACCAGCACTCAGGGACTCCTAAGCCCTCAAAAGCAGATTCCCAAGATACACTTTTTTTCTCTCTCAAATTGAATTTATTACGCTTGCTTCAAAATATTAATATATTACTTAAATATATTAATTACAGAACTGATCCTCCTACAGTAACTGCAACATGCAGTTCCCCAAATTGGGAGGGGATGAGGGAGAAATAACAGTTACAGTACTCACCATATAATAGAACTTATTTTAGCACTGACCTGCCTTTATTTCAGCTTTAAATGCTATCAACAAGGTGGCTAGCTATGATGGAATAAGTCAGATTTTAGATTGCCATTATAGTACGTATAGAATTAGAGTAACCTGTAAGTCTTCAAAATCAATAAAGTATAAACAAAATATTACAGTTTGCATGAATACATCTCTGTTCTCACAGTTTGTAAATTTGCCAAGCCTCTTAGAACGGTTGTGAGGACAAGTACTACCATTAATGGTTTTATTTATTCAAGGTAATATGAAATTTCAAAGCAGGGTCCCGTTCCAGATCTCTTGGGCCTCAGATTCATGTCTTTATCTCTAGAATTCACTTTCTCAAAGAAGAATCAATATATCTTTTTTTTTTTCACCTACCTGCAGAGTCACAGACTTTCTCAGAAAGTTCTATGCGAGCATAACGCTTTGCTTCAGGACCTTCTGTCTGCCCGGTTACACAATATCCTGCTGTTTTTCTCATTTTCTTATTCCAGATTATTACCATTTTCTCTGGTAACTGAAAAACAAAACAGTACATGTAATCTGCCCTCTCCTACCTCTCATCTTCTTCTGGCCCTCTGGCTTCCCCTTATATTTGCGCAAAGCTAGTACACGATGTCCGTTACTGTCCTTAACATTGTTGTCTTTGAAGATGCAAACCTACCCTCCACAGCTTCTTATTCCCATCAGTTTTTCTGTAACCAACACTGGGAGTTTCACAATGCAGGACAAGACAAAAGTCCCTTAGTTCCTCTATTCTGCCTCCAACAGTGGCTAACACATGCTGCTTAAGAGGAAATACATGGACAGGTCAGGCATAAAACAGAATTTCCTCTCTAAAAAAAGTACTCTTCCCAACTGCCTCACTGAGCCACAGGTGGTTCCTCTGCATTAAATAGCCTCTAAAGTTGTTTCCTGGTGTTTTGGGAAGAGTATGTGTGCATATTTAAGAATACACATACATTGTTAGCATCCACAATAGTCTATGATCACAAGTTCTACAGCTTAATAATTTACAGGTCAAATATCATCTGCTTTGGTTGTTCTGAACCTGCAAACTTGACGTTTTAATCTGATGCACCTTCGCGCTGTGAGAGAGTGAATAGTCATCCCTTGCTTATCCTCTGTGCTGCTCCTGGCTTTATGAGCCTTTATCATATCTATCTTGGTTAGCTCTGTTCTTTTACAAACAGTTTTCTGTCATTTAAATTAGTTAACAAGCTTAAGTAAAGGTCCAACAGAAGTAAGTGCCAGCACAGGTGCAGGGCTGAAGCACTGGGAAGTAAGATGTTTTGCTTCCAGCAACAGCAAGCCTGTTCAGCTCTGCTTTATGTGAAATCATGACCGCAGCCTGTTCTTAGTCAGCTCAACAATATTTTCTCAGCTGCACAGAAACATTTGCCTTCTTGAAGGAAATTCTATTGGAATTACTGAGTACAGCATCCTTCCTTTCAAGGATGTTTCTCACCAGAGAAGGGTCTCCAGTATCCCAGAAGATATACAGGACAAGACAGCAGTTCTCTGAAATTGAACCTTCAATTTGAATCCAACTTACAACTTTGGGTTCACCCAAAACTGTCATTCAAAAGATAAGCAGCTTTTTAATCTGTTCTGGAATGGCAGACGTGAACACACAATAGGAGTGAATGAAGGCTACATGTAGCATAACTAAGCATGAGGCAACAGGCCCTAAGGACAAAGGGAACTGCTTTCATCCATCAGCTCCTGGCTCCTCAGTGCACACTCCCATCACTTGCCTTTTGTCAGTTGCAGGCAAGACAGTGTGCTACAACTAGCTATCAGGCTGTGGTAGCTGCAGAGTTCACTGGCATGTACTACTTCAGTAAAAGCTGAATGAGCAATGGTGGCAGGCAATCTTTAGCCTCTTTCAGCAGCAGAAAGCCATGGCTGCCTTTGCTGAGGTCTACTACCACAGAGGCAGCAACAGAAACATTCCCAGGCTGCTGAGTTGATGACCATGCAGTTACTAAAAAATACATGAAGATAAACATCATTCAAAGATGAAACTGATCCAAGGCCCCTCATGTAGAAGTTTCTCTCATCAAGGACTCTTGGACACCATCCAGACTGCTCACTTAAGGATGGTGCACCATTACAACTGGGAAAGCAAGCTGAGTTGAAAACTGCTGCATCACAGTGGTGATAAACCACTTTCAAAGAAATTGCTTAAACTAATTCAAACATACGCCATTGCCGTAAAGCTTAACTTCTACTAACTGAATAGGATAAAGAGCAATCACATCAAATAGTGAGGGGCAACACATTAACCAGCGTTTTAAAATCGTAGTTTTTGTTTTGAAGCCAACCTTCTGCTCAAAGATGGTACTATTATACAGACAGTAGAGCTTCTGTGCCAGCTTCTCTTTATTTTTCTTGAAATACTTCACATAGAGGGAAGCTGGATTTGAGAGATCTTGCAAGAAACAGCCAGGCACTGAGCACACCCTGGGCCTGCAAGAAAAGCCATAAAGCAGTTTACTGAAGTTCAGAGATATCACACTGAAATATAATGGCTACTTGATAGACAATCATAGAATGGTTTGGGTTGGAAGGGACCTCAGAGATCATCTAGTTCCAACCCCCCTGACACTCTCCACTACACCAGGTTCTGCAGTTATTTCACTAATTCACAAAACTAGATTATGAGGACTCCTGAGCAGGAAGAGAGAGTGGCTCAAGTCTTTGTGAAACAGCAAGCCACAATTATACCAAAACTTGATCAATATATGAACAGCCCCAACAATAAAACCAACCCACAATAAAAGTACATTTTCAGAAACATAGCCAAAGATGTTCTGAGAATCCTCAGGAATTCATTCAGGGGAAGTAGATATTCCACTAGGACGACTAATTCCAACACTGCAGCATTCTGACAAAACATCAGCTTAGAAGACATCATTTAAATGTTTTGTATTGGTATACACAATCATAAAATGCCTAAAGGAAACAGCGCATGGCTAAAAGGCAGAATAAAGACAGCTATTAGAAATGAAAAGGCCATTCTTCTGAAAAGCTTAAGCTGCCTCCACATATAGGAAAAGAAACATGAATTCTTCAAGTTATAAGGATATAGGTCAAAAATACAAAGACAAGCTTGTTAAAAGGCAAGAATTACTAATAGAAGTAGTTTTGATGTATTTTTCAGAGACAGCCAGCTGGTTAGATAGAATCTGTAGGGCTAGAAGTATGCTGTGCCAAAACAAGGAATAGCAAGAGCGCTAACATTTACAAAGAGTTGACATTTTTCAGATTTATTTGTCAACTCCTCTAAACAGAGATTAGCTTATATTCTCCCTGTCATACTCGAGACTGAACACTTTGATTTCTAGCTACTTAACCATTAACAACTGCTGAACTGGTGGCAGAAGTTTCTAGGTACCAGAAAAGATCAGAACATACTAGGCAAAATGTTTACCATCTCTTTGTCCATCTATAATGGTCCTAGAATATAGTAAAGATGGAGAAACTCTTGCCTTTTCTCTGTCTTTGTTGATTGTGAGCAATTGATCCATCCATTCCTAGGAATTCTTGCAGAATCAATTATCCTAGAAGGTGTTTCGTGAAGTAAAACAGAGTTTGGCCTTGGTGTCTTGACTCCCTCCCCTTTCAAGAGCTGGACATCTTCACGGAGTGGCTTCATGTTTTCTAGTTCAACAGGAGGAGTCGCAGGATTACATATTGCCAAAGAATTGGGAGCACAGCCATCAGCAACCAGGTGACAGACAATAGTGAAAAAAGGAAAATATTCCACCTCGGCATACACACTCTTACTGTGCATACTCGAACGCAAAGGCTTTTACAACTGACGGAAAGATAATTTGCTGTTACACACTACAAAAATTACCACTCGGTGAAGGAGTGGCAGACTCCAAGCTTTCAAACATTCGGCTAGAAGGAAGTGGAACGAAAAGCATTTGTGACCTCACTCAGGCCTTTCTCTGACACTTCATCAATTCAAAATACATCACCAGCACATTGGGAGAAGTAATGCAGAAACACCATTTGAACAAAGAAACTGTTCTGACCTTCTGTTGGGTGCTTTAAGTCATATCGCTCATTTCACGGGCAAGTTCTGATCAGATGCTGCCTATTTCCCAGTCTATGTCTGCACAGACTGCTAAAGTGACCAACCACCAGAAATCAAGGACCACTTCAAGGTTTGCAGTTTCAGCAGACATTTTCTCTGCTGAATTTTCTGTCACTGTTCCCCTACTGGGGCCACTTCTTCTTTCACTACTCAGCCATATACAGAGAAGCCAATGCAGCTTCCAGCTCACTTCATGAATAGATTTTATAGACCACATTGACATATTCCATTAAAAAAAAAAAAAGCCTTTTCCAGGGCATATTTCTATGCTGTCAGCCATCCTCTTTCATAAGTATCCTTGCCCTGAACTAGTCTTTGTCAGTGAGGAAGGCATCCCATGTTTACTCTTCTAGAAAGAGATTTCTTTTCACCTGCTCTTACACAGCAATAGCCCTTTTTCCCATTTGCAGTCTTTCAGTTGGAGCTCACTTCAGTTAGTCAAAAGGAGAGAAAGAGCAACTGATTTAGGAAAATCTCATTATAAATTGTATTTTAAATAAAGTAAATTAGAAATCCAAATACTAAATTAACAGCATCTAAACCGTTAAATTTCAGTCTTACCAAAATGACAGCCTCCCATTAACTGCTCTAATACATAAAAAAATAGTTAACATCATTCAAAACCACCAGTTAGATTGGTTTTCAAAATAATTTTAAAAACCAAAAATACCTACAATTATAGAAATTACAACAAGCAATAGTGAAAAACTTACATCTTGATACCACAAGACTAAGAGAATCGCTTTTCAGAATGCTCAGAGGAATGATTTCTGATTGCATCAAATTCGACTGCAAGATGCTGGCTTGCACTTCTAAAGCACGTGCCACAGAAATGAAAATAATCAAGCACTTAGCACCAGCATTGCTGCCGACAGGTCGTGTGCAAGTCAGCTCAGAACAATTACTTACCTGTTGTGCTTGGCTGGTAGACAGTTTTACTTGTGCTTAAGATTGGTTTTCGGGGTGTACTTCGTTTCCTTACCCGTTCCATTAACGACTCAAATTCGTCACCTGAGCTGTCTGATTCTACCTCTGTACTTTGTCGCAGTGCCGCAGTTGGCACTTCATTTTCCGTACTGTTTTCACAGCTTCTTTCTTTCCTTCTAACAAGCAAGTCTGGACTGCCTCTGGAAACTGACTGTCTCGAGTTTTGTGGAGGTGGGAGTTTTATGCACCTTTGACTCTCTTTCAAGTCTTTCACTTCCTCTTTTTGGTAGTCATGCCATGAACTTTCTACAAAGACAGAATCTTCAGTGTCACTTGAAGTCTCTGAATACTCCAACTCTTGGCAGCAACTGTTTTTCTTTCCAGAAGTCATCACCTTCTTCAGGGTCTGAAGATCCTTCTGTGCTGCAGTTCAAAAGAAACAGCTTAAAGTTTCGGTAATTTCGTTTAGGAGATCTGCCTTTGTCTTAACACAAAAAAAAATCACTTGAAAGACAGGAAAACACAGAAAAACAGAAACAAATCTTTGCGTTTTCTTTATCGCCCCCTGCTCATTTACCATGATACTAAATGGAAAGTTAATGGACGTATATAAAAAAAAAATGTAGCTTAAACCCCATGTATGCATACATCAGCCATCAGGCCTAACAATCCTGAATAGGTAGCTAGCACTGTCATCATCTTTTTTCCCAGTAACAAAAGCTACATGCATGTACGAGTAAGGCAGAACATGTCATATTAAAGTTTTATAAAACCACCAAATGTAGGATAACTTAATGCTCAGCCTTAGTTGATCGAACCATAGCCTACAGCACAAAGTGCACAACTGCCAACAAACAAGGCTTCTGACATCTCAGATTTGATCCTTCAAGATCAAGGGATCCCGTCAGATCTACTGGTGACTTTTTAAAATTATGCTTCTGTTCCAGTTTGCTTCTCCCCTTTACCCTTCAGAAACCATTCCATTAGCTTTTTACAGTCCACAGCTAGGATACATGTTTCAGGTCTGACATTCACACCAGCTGCAAGAGATCCTGCCCTTCTTGATCAGGGGTTAGAGCTTCTCCAGGTTCATATGAGATCACTGCTATCATCCCACATCTACTAGAATTCTTTCAGCTGATTGCTGGCCTAGTGGCTGTGTCCATGTTCACTCTTTCTAGGAAAGTTCAGTTTGCTCGTATCAGTGAGAGAAGTGCACTAGACAGATGCAGTCAGGCTGTGCATGTCAGTAAACCAAGGCACTTTCCATCCCTTGGGGGAAATCAGGGATTGTCTGCTGAGACAAGCACCGAAACCCCTCAATTCATGGTTTGTCAGAGCATCTCAAAGCCAGTGTTAACAGGATGACTCCTAGGACCTTGCCTAAAGAAGCTTCAAATTAAAGGACCCTATCTGTGGTGCTGCAACATCCATAGGCAAGACGGGTCTGATGATAGCTAACATCTGCATCAAATTACAGGTACCTAGCTTGAAAACAGTTCCCTGCTTTCTTTGCTCAGTGTCTTTTGGCCACAGAATGAGCTGGTACAGCCACGGGAATGCTGTTTTGCATATACTAAGTCATAGAATCATAGAATTGTTTAGGTTGGAAGAGACCTTAAAGATCATCTAGTTCCAACCCCCCTGCCATGGGCAGGGACACTTTCTACTAGATCAGGTTGCTTCCAGGGATCGGGCAGCTACAACTTCCCTGGGCAACCTGTTCCAGTGCCTCACCACTCTCAGAGTGAAGAATTTTTTCCTTAGATCTAATCTAAATCTCCCCTCTTTCAGTTTCAAGTCATTTCCCCTTGTTCTATCACTACACACCCTTGTAAAAAGTCCCTCACCAGCTTTCTTGTAGGCTGAACAACCTCTCTCAGCCTGTCTTCATAATAGAGGTGCTCCAGCCCTCTAATCATCTTCGTGGCCCTCCTCTGGACCCACTCCAGCCCAGGATGCGGTTGGCTTTCTGGGCTGCCAGCACACATTGCCGGCTCATGTTGAGCTTCTCATCCACCAGCACTTCCAAGTCCTTTTCCTCAGGACTGCTCTCGATCCATTCTCTGCCCAGCCTGTACTTGTGCTTGGGATTGCCCCGACCCACGTGCAGGACCTTGCACTTGGCCTTGTTGAACTTCATGAGGTTCTCACAGGCCCACCTCTCCAGCCTGTCAAGGTCCCTCTGGATGGCATCCCTTCCCTCCAGCGTGTCCACAACACCACACAGCTTGGTATTGTCAGCAAACTTGCTGAGGATGCGCTCGATCCCACTGTTCACGTAGCCAAAAAAGATGTTGAACAGCACCGATCCCAATATCAACCCCTGAGAGACATCAGTCATCACTGGCCTCCACTTGGACATTGAGTCGTTGACAGCAACTCTCTGAGTTCGACCATCCAGCCAATTCCTTATCCACCGACTGGTCCATCAATTAAATCCATGTCTCTCCAGTTTAGACACAAGGATGTCATGTGCGACAGTATCAAATGCTTTGGACAAGTTCAGGTAGACGATGTCAGTTGCTCTTCCCTTATCCATCAATGCTGTAACCTCATCATAGAAGGCCACCAAATTAGTCAGGCAGGATTTGCCCTTAGTGAAGCCATGTTAGCTGTCACCAATCACCTCCTTATTCTCCATGTGCCTTAGCATAGTTGCCAGGAGGATCTGCTCCATGATCTTGCTGGGCACGGAGGTGAGACTGACTGGCCTGCGGTTCCCCAGGTCTTCCTTTTTTTTCCCTTTTTAAAAATGGGGGCTATGTTTCCCCTTTTCCAGTCACTGGGAACTTCACTGGACTGCCAATATGATGGATAGTGGCTTAGCAACTTCATCTGCCAGTTCCCTCAGGAGCCACGGATGCACCTCATCAGGGCCCATGGACTTCTGCATCTTTGGGTTCCTTATACGGTCTCGAACCTGATCTTGTCCTATAGTGGGCGGTTCTTCATTCTCACAGTCCCTGCCTTTGCCTTCTGTGACTTGAGCTGTGCAGCTGGAGCTCTTGCCAGTGAAGACCGAGGCAAAAAATCATTGAGAACCTCAGCCTTCTCCATATCCTGGGTAGCCAGGTTTCCTGTTTCCTTCTGGAGAGGGCCCACATTTTCCCTAGTCTTCCGTTTATCACTGACGCACCTATAGAAGCTTTTCTTGTTGCCCTTCATGTCCTTGGCCAGATTTAACTCTACCAGGGCTTTAGCTTTCCTAACCTGATTCCTGGTTGCTCAGACAATTTCTCTGTATTCCTCCCAGGCTACCTGTCCTTGCTTCCACCCTCTGTAGGCTTCCCTTTTTGTGTTTGAGTTTGTCCAGTAGCTCCTTGTTCATTCATGCAGGCCTCCTGATGTTTTTGCCTGACTTTCTCTTTGTTGGGATGTGCCACTCCTGAGCTTGGAGGAGGTGATCCTTGAATATTAACCAGCTTTCTTGGGCCCCTGTTCCCTGCAGGGCTTTATCCCATGGTACTCTACCACGCAGATCCCTGAAGAGGCCAAACTCTGCTCTCCCGAAGTCCATGGCAGTGAGCTTGCTGTGCCCCTCCTTGCTGCTCACACCTCTCTCCACAGTGATCATCCCATATTTGCGGCTCAGCCTAATCAATCACGAGTTGCTACTCTTTTCACAGACCCAAATACTATGTGGTTAGTCCACAATACCTGCAGACCTACTGCAATGCTTGAGGATATCCACCTGTTGGAAAAGTATGACCATGCTTTCGTCCGTTACCAGAGGAAACAAAAAGGCCTCTCCTCCGTTACTCCACATGAAGGGACAAAGTGATCTTACATTCAACAAGCTCTCTCAGAAATTTATAAGCTCAGCAATGAATACTGTCTTTCCACCCATTAAAATTCCTGCTTCATGTCTATTGTTTGACAATTACTTGCCATTCTTTGTTGTGCTCTTTCTCACTTTAAAGTCCAAGAAGAAATCATCCGAGTCATCACTTAAGTCGTTCAAACTGTAAAACAAGCAAACAATGTGAAAAAGGTAGGCGTAAGCAGGATATTGAAGCATAAGCTTGCCATACTGAAAAAGCAAACCAAAAAACCTCACCCAATATATTATCAGTTGCTCCCAGCAAACGTTACCAACTACATCTGTGTCCATCAATAAGAATGGCAGTAGAGCACGTACACCTCCAAAATCCCCTTTTACATTTGACCTCAACACACAGACTGAGCACACTCCTATCCACATATCTGCCTATGAATCACTAAAACTTTTTATCATTTTTCTGAATAGTAGATGTGATACAGAAAACTAATAAACATTGAAAAGTCATTAATCACAGTGCTCACCTTGCATCTGCCTTTTTAGAAACAGACTGGGGAGTTTTCATTCTGGCTAAAACTGAAACAGTAAAAGATTAATTAAGAACAAGGTTCTGTTTCTTTTGTAGTTTTTTTTTTTTTTAAGAGAAATGTTTGCAACTAGTAAAAATTCAGTCTAAAGTCTTAAAAAAACCCGCAGACATAAGAATCCTTTACATGTAATTCCAACCCTCAATTCCTCAAAGCTGACAGCAGCTGTCTAGCACTTCCTTCATTATTCAATCGGTGCCCAGCACAAGGGCAGATAACAAGTGCTGTTATGTATTTTACAGCATCCAGTATAGCCTCCTCATACAGGTGGATCATTGGGGGTGGAATTGAATGGGTTTATCAATATTTTCTCCAAGTTTTCCTACTGCAAAGAGGTGTCCAGATGCTTACTTCACAAAAAAAATTCAAACAAAATGGTAACAATCATATCCCACTACAGAACAGTAATTCAATACTACTACTCAGAAATAAATGTGTTTTAATTACTCCAGGAATACTGTGGTGACTGCTAAACAAGAAAACAAGATTCAGGCAGCAGTACTGCACATGCTTGAAACAGTGACTTTTGAGAGATTATCAGAAACGCCATGAAATTTTCACAGACCGTCATGAGGAGAGATTCAGGAAAGCTGAAGGGGAAGAAATTTCATTGAAGCATAAATCAGGCTGAGGAAGAGTGAAACAACTATCCCTTCTGGCCCATAATGGGCCAATATAGCAATTAAGAAGTGTTCATTCTCACAATCTGAAGCTGCATGCATGACTTCAATGGGGTTACAAACTTTTGCAATATGCCATAAGCCCAAAACCAGTAGGTTTCCTTGGTAAAGCTTTTATGGCTGATCAGTAAATCCTAGTACCAGGAAGAGCAGCTGAACTGCACACAAATGCTACCCTGAAAGCACACTGCAATGTAAAAAGCATAGGATGGGACAGAGTGTTGTCCTCTTAGAAGAGAAGCACAAGGAGGGGAAAAAAAAATTCAAGATCTTGAAGCTCAAAAAGTACTTGGAGCAATAAATTATTTTCAGTTTCAGCACCCAGTAATCTTCACCACTGCCTTCATTGCAAAAGAGGTAAACCCTGCTGCCTCCCAAGCCACCACATCAGGGTGGCTCACTGAAACACAAATGGCTACGAGCCAGAAGCTTTCCCAGATGATCATAACCAGTGTTCCTAGACCATGAAACAGCACCAAACTAGTAAAGCTGACAGCTGGTCACAGGAAAGCGAAAGCTTACAGAAAAACATGACTTGCCACTTAATAAATCAATTCTCTTTAGTTTCTTGTCCCTTGGCACACAGTTTCATTTCGCTCAGTGACTACACTGGCACTGTAGTGATCGCATGGCAACAGAACAGCTTTGCAAATATCCTCTAAGCGTCAACTAGTTTCTCTCAGCTACCTTCCATGCCAGAGCTGACACATGACTTTGGGCTCAACAGCTTCCTGGATGGAAGAGGCTAAAAAACAGTCTAGGGGTGGGCGGGGAGGGGGAAGAGTAAATATTTAAGTTTAGAAAATGACAGGAAAGCGAACAATGACCTAATAACGGACAGTATTGAAACATTTATCAGATTTAAAAATGCAGAGGTAGTGCAGGAATTACACATCGTATGTTTTAATTCAACTGGATGGAAACAGCAACGCTGGACAACGCTTAAGATCATTCACATGGCACTGAGCTGGAACACAGCATGAACACCAAAGTAGTGAGAAATCTGCTTTAAAAGCAGGTAGACTAACACGAGATTGATATGCAAAAGGCAAAATAAACAGATAACAACTTGTTGCCTTACCATTTCTGTTCAAATACTGAATACATAATGAGGAACATACTGCAAGATTTATAAACCTTTAAATTACTTACCAGTCTGAAACTCACTTGAGATATGGTAGAGTCATGATTAGTCCATCTAAAGGAGCTAAACAGAACTCTTGCAACAGGAAAAAAAAAACAGTGCGTACTCAACTACCCTAGCACAGAATGATAGTCATAATGGCTATTACTAAAAAGAAAATGATGAGTATCAGGTTTTGTATGTACAGGCTAAACATAAAGATAGGAAGTTATCTGGCACAGCAGAAGCCACCATGTAAAATTTAGTATTCAGTTCCATCTCACCAACACCTTGGGCCACTATGAAAGGCCAAAAACATCCCTCTGGCTGATTAAAACTTATGCCACCAAAGCCATGACAAGCAAGAGGGAATTCCGAGTAGTTCAGATGTGTTTGGAACAGAAACTGCTCAGAGAAAATGTTTATTCGGAGATGCTCAGTGGACTAAGGAGGAAGCAAGTGAGTGACAGGAAACAGACAGAACTGAGGCAGCAAGAAAAAATAACGCAAGGCAAAAAGCATCCAAGACTGAGACAGGAGATTCAGGAACACCCACTGTGGCAAATCGTTCCCAACACTCTACTGCAGGGAGCACTGCAGCAGAAGCCATGAAAGAAAACCGTGCATGAAAACTACTTCGCTACACTAGACAGAAACGTGTCTTTTCCACACTCCTTCCGAAAACAAACTAACTTCTTACTTACACATTTCAAACTCGTCATCACTGCTGGAAGAGAAGTACAGGGCATGGCTGCAAAAAACGAAACGCAGAAGAGTATCAAGAGCAAGCAGATCTGCATCTCTACTGGGCTGAACTGCCTGTGGACACTAAGAACCAAATATATACTGAAAACCACTGAACATCTCAAACAGGGTGAACTGTCTTAAGTTATTTAAAACAGAAATATTAGAGGCTGTACATTAAAATTTGTAACAACCATACACGTTCGATATTCACATAGTAATCACTGGCTGCCAAAATCCGAAAGACTGAGCCATTTGAAGACCCAGGCTTTGGCCATGACATTGGTTTAAGTTCAAACTGGGTACCAGAACGCAGAAGGGACACAACGCTTGTTTCTCACCTTACACGTGGCACATGATCAGGGAGAGAACGCTGCATTGTATTAAATGAAAACGTGCAACAATGAGAAACAAGCTGCTTTTGCATAACATGCACTCTAACACGGCTGCCGTGAGCACTCAGCAATC